ATGTGCGAGCGGATATTGCAGAAATTGCTGCAGGAGTCTGTCGTAAGAGCTGCGGAAGGATCTGTTGTATGGGGGGTGTAATCGATCAGAGTTGTAGTGGGAGCTGTCGAGGAGCAACGATGAGAGTTGTAGCTGTAGTAGGAGCTTCAACGCCGCCGGACTGAGGAGCTGCATTGGGGGGGCAGTGGCACGACCTGTACGACTGGGCCTGGTTGAATAGAGTGCAGTAAGAGCTGAATTGGGAACTATAATAATAATTGTCGTGGTACATGCGTAATTTGATTGGCATATGTTCGACTGTTGGCAATTGGACGTGTACTATTCACTTCGGTCGGAACATACTTGAAAGCCGTGCTATTGGCTGCAACGGGAAGTACAGCAAAGGCTGCACTACGATAGATGATATGGCACGTGCCATCAACTGTAGTGGGGAGCTGCTGCATGATCTCTGGTCTGAGCTGCATTGAGAGCTGTAGAGGGAGGAGTTGAGAGGGGGCAGCACTAACTGATGCACTGCTGGCCATAAAGGAGCTGCAGTACGGCATGGTTCAGGAGTTGTAGTAAGGGCAGTAACAGCTTCAGTGCGAGCTGAGCTGCGATCTGCAGTGGGAGCTGCAACTGGGGCTGCACGTGCGTGTGGCTGTGTCAAAGAATTCTGGCACGAACTGTATTAACATACGCGGTAGACGTGGTAGTAGGGGATGTAATGGGAGCTGTACGTGGTAGTAGAAGGTGTTGGTTGTTTTTGTTCATTGTCGTTCCAATGGTTTTCCTGAAGGTTCTGCTGACAGCGCTGCAGTGTCTTTGATGTTTGTTTGGTGTTCCTTGTGTTTGCTTGGTTTTTCAGCGACATCCTCCACATCCCCATCCTCCTTACTTACTAATCCTTATCCTCCTGTTCCACTTCTCCCTCCCCCTCCTCTCCCTCCTCTCATCACCATCGTCCTTTCATTCCTATCACTCTTCGTGAGGAGTAGGACGGAAATGATGATGATGACGATGATGCTGATGATGATGATGATGATGATGATCATGCTTTTGATGATGATGCTGTTGCGGTCGCTGCTGCTGCTGATGATGATGATGACGATTATGATCGTTATGGTGATTATGATGATGGTGATGATGATGACCATGATGATGATGATGCTGCTGATGATGATGATGACGATGATGATGATGATGATGATGATGATGATGATGATGATGCAGAGAACGACGAGGAGATGGTTCCGCGCGGAAGTCCCACTCCTTCCAATACAAACCCTATGCACTTTTGGGTGAAATCTTAGAATCGCGGGGGGGGCGGGGCGATTACGACGTGAAACCCCGTTGAACCCCCTCCATAAACTAACACCAACGGAATTCAGGACGTTCCGTGCGGAGGACAAGGAGCAAGTGCGCGGACGAGGGCGCCGGGTGGGCACCGAGCTCGAGCAGGGGGATCCCCCGACTCCGAAGACGAACCCCGCCGCGACGGCTTGAAACGAAACGCGGCTCGGTTTCCGTGGCTCTGCGAGGGACGGGCCGCGCGCCTCAGCCTGCGCCGACACGCACTGGTGCCGCGGCCTCGGAGGGAGGGAGGGGGGCGAAGAAAGGGAGGCGACGGGGGAGGGGGAGGAAGAGGGAAACACGTCCTGGTGCTGCCGCCTGAGGGCACGATCGCCCACGCGGCCCCATCGGGCTGCTGGTGCACGCGCGGCACAGGCGCCCCGCCTCACGCCACCTGGGGCGCGTCGCTGATCTCCTCGCACGGGTCGAAACCATCCTCCGCCGCCCCCGTGATCCAAGAGCCGGGCTGGCGCTCCGGCACGGAGCGGCGGCGGTGCCCAGACTTCGACGGGGTCGGCTGCTCGAACATCTTTATGGCCGCCCCCGTGGGCGATCCCAGGCCGTCGGACTTGACCTTGCCGCTGACCCTGGAGCCCCTCTTGCGCTCGAGCTTGGCCCTGAGATCCTCGCAGCGATGCTCCTCGGCCTTCTGCCACCTCTTCAGCTTGTCCTCGACGGCATCGGTGTGCTTCTTCGCCTTCCCGCTGATCTCGGCCAGCACCTCCCTGCGCTTCTCGAGGGCGCTGCTGGCCTTCTCGTTGAGCCCGTCGCTCAGGCGGCGGCGGCGTTCCGCCTGCTCCGTCCCGACGCGCTCTGCCGCCTGCTTCTTCGCCTCGTTCTCACTGTGCAGCTTCTCCACGCGGCCCTTGCCGAGGAGGCAGGGCAGCAGCGAATCCTCCATGGTGCTCTTCGGGCGGTTGTCCCTGTTGGGAGTGGTCGGAGGCGTGTTTCCGGAGGCGTATCCCTCGAGGCGCTCGCGAACCTTGGACTTCACGTTGGAAGGCGATGTCTTGAACTGGTCGGTGACCTCGAAGGCGATCCCGGACGAGGTCCTCTTCTCTGAGAGAATCGTCATGAGGTCGAGATCATCGAAGTTGGTCTGGAGGGTGACCTGCACTGGCTCCTCCTTGCTGGGCCTCGACACGCAGCAGAACATGCTAGCGTAGATCTGGGCACAACCAGCAGGCGGGCTGGCGCGTGGGCCGCTGCTTGCGCTTGATCCTATAATCGCTGTGCAGTCCGATCGGCCTGGAAGTCGAGATGTGGGGATGGGTTGCGCCGACGCTCGGCCAAGAAACCTGAACATGGATGAACCTGTAGATCTATAGAACTACGAACAAGTTGGTGGTAGTCATTGTGATGGTATGCTTACTTACGAGCGATGTCTGTCTAGCACGCTCCTCGTTTTTTCCCTTCTGGGAGGGGGCTACCCCTCCGCCTACCCCGCGCCGGAATGCTGCACTTGAGCTCGCACGGTGGGCCTCTTGGGACCGTTTTGACATCACGGACGCTGCTCCTTGATTACCTTTTTCGGCATTCGGAGCGACCTGGGGCCCCCTTGAGAACCCTCTTGAAGTCATCTTGAGGCCTCAAGAGCCTCATGGACGATAACGCGAACCAATATACTTGTTTCCTGCAATGGTTCAACGACTCTGGCCTCTTCGGGGCCTGTTGCCACGTCTTGGCAACATCTTGGGCAAACCTGGAGAATGTCTCGGCGTGTCCTGTCGCGTCTTGTCTTGTCTCGTCTAGCCTGCCTGTCTGCGGCCGCCTTCGGGGCGTCTCTCTCGTCTTGGAGGGATGTCCACGCCCGTCGTGTTTGAGGGTCCGTGGGGACCCAAGATGGCTTCAAGAAGAATCCAGACAGCCCAATATCGTTACCAAAATGACACAATGCAACCCAATATGGCTAAATATGTTCTCCGATATGCTTCCGGAAGGCTCAGACATAAGACGACTCCAAGTGGCCTCAGCGCTCAAACACAACAAACTTCGTAAGGACTTCAGCCTTTCTGGCCCTTCGCTTCCGAGAAGCTTCTTGGTCCTCAAGATGGCTACAAGATCGCCCAATGAAGCTCCAGAGGGGCCTAGAAGAGCTCCAGGACGGCCCCGAGAGCGCCCAAGAGCGCCCCAAGAGGCAAATTTCGTGTTCCGGCGGCCGGCATGTTCAGGAAGGGGTCTGGCCGGATGGGCCGTGGAACTCATCTGGCACTGCAGAACTCACAGACAGCCATTCGACGGACCAACATGGGCGCAAGACTGCTCCAGATTGTCTCCCAGACGGCCAGCGTGGCCCCCTGATAGCCTCAAGACAACCCACGAGGCCCCCACAACGCCCAAACACGGCTCGAAGTAGACCGCGAAGAGATCCCCCAACCGCCCATCAGGGCACCAGAACGGCCCAAGACCCCACAGTTTGGTCCCCAAGGGGTCGGCGGTGCGGCGTAAGCCCGTGATGCAGGAATGTTCTCAGAACGCAGACGTTGTTCTCAGAACACACAGCCGTCTCAGCGAGACATGTCTTAAAAGCATGTTGAGCCACAAAAGGCTGTTTGACAACTCTCTGGACGGCCTATGCTCGAGGCCTCCTAGATAGCCTCCGAGTAGATGGGTCGGAGGATCGCGCCGCATCGGCGACGTCGGTGATGCATCGGCGCCGTCGGCGTGGAGAAAATCGGGCTCCGCATCGAGCCACATCGCCGATGCATCAGCGATGCGGCGCGATCCTCCGACCCCTTCTGCTCGGATCCCGTCTGGGGAGCACAGCTCGGGGCTTCGGTCAGGCATGTTTTCTTATAGGATATGGGAAGAGAAATTAAAAAATAGGAAAACATATTCAAACATAATAAAAAGTAGTCGAAGATCGTCCCCAGGCTATTTTTGTCATTCTTTCGGACTATTCCACCTGTAGAGGGACATGCCCGACCTAAGTCTCCAGAACCCCGTCATCGTGATTTTTCAGAACGTCGACCCCCAAACGCTTCGACCTATTCCCCGGGAGCGGTTCTTCATCCCGGGTCGTTTTTTGACGGTCCCGAGGCCCGGTAAGGGCTCACAGAGGACGCTGGCGAAAAACCTCCCGCCATGTTTTGTTCATTACTCGAGGGTCAGAAGCCAAGCGAAGGCTGGCAAATCCGTGGCTGCTAAAACGGAGCTCCAGGAAATGTTTTTTCCTTCCGGGAAGCAGCCCGTCTACTACTCAGTACGCTGAGTTTTGTTCCGGTATAGTTAGTTTTCTTTCTTCCGGGCAGACCGGTTTAGCAGCCACGGATTTGCAAGCCCTCGCCCAGCTTCCGAGAGTGGGCTGGGAAGGGACATGCCCGACCCACCTCTGGGCCCCCCGAGGCCGAACGTGGCGAAAAACCTCCCGCCATTTTTTTCCACTGCTCGAGGGGGGACTGGGAAGGAACCTGCCCGCCCGAACTCTGGCCCGACCGACCGACATGCCCCCCAAATGGTCAAAACATAATTTTCAAAAATCGTCCCCATATTGTTTTTGGGGACTCTTTTTGACTATTCCTCCTTTAGAGGGACCGGCCCGACTCAAACCCAACTCTGGGCCAGGACGCCTCCGGAGGGTTCCAAAAAGAGCTTTTGGGGAGGGGGGTCCCCATGAGCGCCCCGCAGGGGCCTCGGAACCTCGCCAAAACAGAGGGTGCGAAGCCCCTGGGGGACCCCTCCCCGAAGACCCCCTTTGGAACCCTCTGGCGCCTTGCCGCTGCCCGGCCGCGTCGGGGGAGGAAGAGAAGGAGAAGGAGGAGGAGGAGGAGGAGGAGGAGGAGGAGGAGGAGGGGAGGAGGAGGAGGAGGAGGAGGAGGAGGAGGAGGAGGAGGAGGAGGAGGAGGAGGAGGAGGAGGAGGAGGAGGAGGAGGAGGAGGAGGGAGGAGGAGGAGGAGGAGGAGGGAGGAGGAGGAGGAGGAGGAGGAGGAGGAGGAGGAGGAGGAGGAGGAGGAGGAGGAGGAGGAGGAGGAGGAGGAGGAGGAGGAGGAGGAGGAGAGGAGGAGGAGGAGGAGGACGGAGGAGGAGGGAGGAGCAGGAGGGAGGAGTGGGTGAGGGGGAGGACGAGGAGGAGCAGGAGGAGGAGGAGGAGGAGGAGGAGGAGGAGGAGGAGAGGGAAGGGAGGAGGAGGAGGAGGAGGAGGAGGAGGAGGAGGAGGAGGAGAAGGAGGAGGAGGAGGAGGAGGAGGGAGGAGGAGGAGGAGAGGAGGAGGAGGAGGAGGAGGAGAAGGAGGAGCGAGGAGAGGAGGAGGAGGAGGAGGAGGAGGAGGAGGAGGAGGGAGGAGGAGGAGGAGGAGGAGGAGGAGGAGGAGGAGGAGGAGCGCGCGGCCCCAGGCTGCCGAGGCGGCGGCCCCTCCGCTCGAGCCCGGCCGCTCCCCTGCGCCGCCCGGCGGGCTGGGCGGCGCGGCGGGCGAGCGCGGCGGCGAGGGGGACCGCCGCAGCTGCTCCGGCAGGAGCACGGGCGCCTCTTCGTGGGCTTATTTGCCACCGCCACCACCAGAAGTAGGAGGGGAAGGGGGTCCTCCTCCTCCTCCTCCTCCTCCTCCTCCTCCTCCCTCCTCCTCCTCTTCCTCCTCTCCTCCTCCTCCTCCTCCTCCTCCTCCTCCTCCTCCTCCCTTTTCGTCCTCCTCTTTTTCCTTCTCATCCTCCACCTCCTTCCCCCTCCACCTTATGCTGGTGGTGGTGGTGGAAAACAAGCCCATCACCTCTGGCGCGGCGCGGGGTGCCGCTCGATCTGACCAGCTTCGACCTTATCCCTACCGACCAGCCACAAATGGGGACCTGTGGTCTTTACCCCCCAGGGGGGAACCCATCGCATCGACGATCTCTCGAGAGGGGCGTCGAAATCGATGGATCCCCCAGGGGGGTAAGGACCACAGCTCCCCCAGTTGTGGTTGGCCTGCCCTATACCTAAGCGCGGCAAGCCCGAGGCGATGACAATCTTAGGCGATGTGCCGTCGGAAACTGGGGGAGTCCTTCAGATCAGCACCGAGGTGAGGTAATGCCAAACGTAGGGATAGGGATATGTTTCCAGCTGGTAGCGATCGGGAGCACCAGCGACATGGCCTCCCAGAGGGAGAACATGGGGCCCCCAATCGAGCCGCATCCCCAAGACCCCCTCGGGTCAGGAAGACATCACGACCAGGGGGGGTCGCTCTTTTCGGACTCTGGGGGCCCTCACCGAGCCTCGAGACCGTCAACAAAGACGACTGAGGATGGAAAGCCCGTCCCGGGGAATGCGTGGAGACCTGTGGGGGTCGACGTGATGAGAGAGGCATGACGTCGGGGGTCTGGGACGCTGATGCATCGGCGATGCGGCGCGATCCTCCGACCCTATCTGACCTCCCACCCCACCTATAGGATGCCTAGAGAGGCGCCGCCGGTCCCCTTGACCACTGGACACCGGAATCTGCCGAGATCGATCACTACCGCCGAGGTAGATCGCTACCGATATTGCTGCCATCGGTCGCTGCCTGATCTCGTTGCCGGATTTGGCTATCGATCGATCGGCCGCTGTCGGACCGCTGACATCGGTCGCTGCCGGACCGCTGACATCGGTCGCTATCGATCGCTGCCGGATTTCGCCGAAGTCGATTTTGCTGACATCGGTCGCGACAGCCGAGATCGATCGCTACCGATTTTGCTTCAATTTCGGGGATCGGTCGCGACCAATATGCTTCAAAATCGGTCGCGACCGATCGGCCGCGACCAACCAGTCGGTCATGACTGATCGCGACCGATGTCGAAATCGGTCGCGGTCGGTCGCGACCGATTTGGGATGCCGACAAGTCGACAAGTCCCTGCCGATCGCGACCGAGCTCCCGGACATTTGGCGTCTCGAAAACCATCGAGGCGGAGGTTTTTCCTAGTTTCCGGCCTCTAAGGGTAAAAGCGGTTCCAGGGAAGTGGTCGAGAGGTCGGGGGACCGTCTCGAAAGAATCGAGACGCCAGACGTCTGGGTCGGCGGGGTGCCTGGCAAGGGCACGGGCGCCTCGGGCGGGGCCACAGGCCCAAATCTCCGACGGTCCTCGACATCCAGGCGTTGCATTTGTTTTGCACTGGGCGTTTTCGCCCCAGTTTGGGGCCCCGGGGCCATCGCAGATCGACGCGGCTCGAAGCATGCAGCGGAGAGGTGGGGGACCGCGGCTCTGGTCGTGATCTTTTGCGCTGC